CTAGTTATGCACTTAAATTTGTCAAGTTTAGGTATCATAGGGGAAATTTCATTGGAACAATTACCACTAGGTATTTATAGAAAAGACACAGGAAAACTGCATTACAGTGGTGGGAAAGGGACTTAAGCTGAGATGCCATATCATCACTGATAACATGGCAGATTCTTCTTTTGATTACCATGAAAACATTTACACATGTACTTATATATGCAATTTCTGTAAAAATACATTGTCTGCATCTTCATGTGCATTAATTTTAATATTTATTGTGTTTGGTTGTGCAGGCGATGCAGTTGTTTGTAGCTTTAAATAAAAAATAAAATAGTAGAGTTTGAGTTCATTACATTCACTTTGTGAGTTAAATAGCAGGCCACACTGGGATCTCTAGCCATGATTAGCAAACAGTCTAGGAGAAGGACAATTCTAAATTCAAAACTATGTAGCCTTGGGAGAGCACATACTGTACAGTTATTGACAAGATCATGAAGTTCACAATGACTATAATCTTGCCTGCAGCTGACCTACGATGATCTGTATGTTGCCTTAAACTATGTCTAGCTCAGTATATGTGGGTGGATTTTGATGCAAGATTATATTTGTAGCTCCTTCATATGAAACAAAACCAGAGATTTTAACTGAAATTGTAGCAAAAAAAAAAAAAAAAAAAACATTTGAATGCAATAAGATTTATTATATCATCAGCATTGTTAGACAATGGAAATATGTTTTTTTTCTTTTATGATATTTGAACAGAGTTCTTATCAAAGTGCAATTAACATCTGTTGTCACTTGATGCCAGATAAAACAAAAACAAAAAATAAACAACGATTCCACCCACCTGTCATTTATTTTTCTGCATTCTTCTGATCCACATGATTTACTGGAATTCAGGAAACGCTGTTTCATAGAATTTGGTTTGGCATTGGCATTATATCAAGAGCATTCTTATTAATTTGTTTTCTGATTCCTATTGTCCTTCTCTTTTCATTACCATTAATTGGTTTGTATTAAATCAGCATAGTCAACAAAAACACTGTATTAAAACCTTGTTTGTTAATGTTTTTGTGTCCCTGGAACAAAACAGTGACATATGTAGGTCTTTTATTAAAAAGAGTTGACGAAAAATGAATGCGTGTGGGGGGAAGTGGGGGGAAGGTGAATGGTGATGTGTTTGAATGGAACTATTTATGAATGTATGTAGATACATCATTTCACTTGATTCACTACTAAATATTAATCGCGTATATTAAGTATTATACCACAAAAGTCATAGATCTGTCCAGCTAATAGCTACGTATAAGGTTACAGTCTTATTGGCTCACACTTGTGTATAGCACTTCTTTGATATATTTATATGTATCTCTGAATGCAAGGGTGAATGTGAGAGTTAGTCATGATCATGAGACCCATCAGGGTTGTAGGGATGCCACATGTACTGCGGTAAGGCAGGTCGATTTTGGAACTGTGATATTGCACTCAGTTTGAAAGTTGGGGTTTCACATAATAATGATATGAAATATTTTTCCCAAATCATTATTGTGTTTTGAGGAAATGAGTTCAAAGCTTACATTTAGGTTCAAAATTATGGCATTGCAATTTCACTCCAGTCATCAGTGAAAGCCTTATAACACAACCTTATAAAATGTATAATTTACTAAAACGTTACAAATTGAGGACAAGATGCATGGCAAAAGCACGTGATTAATAAATCATTGTGCCATCAAATAAGATCTTCATTTACTTCAAAGGGATTTTATACTGAACAATTTAGTTATATTATGATATATTATACAGTGTAATAGTTTTAATGTGATTTTCAATAAACAATGCAAATTTAAAATAGTTTTTTCTTATAATTTGTGCCCAGCAGTATTTTAGTGTTATATATATGTTTATCTATTTACTTTATTTTGTATTGTTTTATTTTTCTTGTATTTGTTAGTCCAGCAGGAAAAAAAAGAAAAAAATTACAGCAGAATATAATATGAAAATGGTGATTGAGATTTCAAATGCTAATTTTTCAGGCAGGCAAGTCAGCAATTCTCACTTGAAGGATTTGGATCAGCATAATCTTTCTACCTTTATTCTCGACATTAGTCTCTTGTTTTCTGCTAAACATGACACAAGGTATAAAACTTGAATAGAATTTAAGATTCGTTCAAATTAAAATGCAGAAGAAAAATTTAGTTATGTAATAAAATTATTCCTTATTAAAATCAATATGGATGACTATTAAGTTGTTTAAACATATTTAAAGATTCTAAAATATACAGACATTACATATGAATCAGCCTTGCTCTATCTCCTTATCTGTAGGTACCATAGTCCTTTGTGTTTTGATTGCTGGGGAGTATAAGATGCAGCTAAAAAAAGCAGAGAAATTTCATGGCGGGGAAAAACATATTTTCATGTATAAAATCACATCTGATTTTAGAGCAAAAAATGACCAAAACTTGTATAAAAGGAAGCGAAAAAATGAAAAAAAAAACAAAAGCATGATAATGACCCTTGGTGTATAAGACCACGAAATTGCCAATACACTTTGAGAAAATAAATCAAAATAAAATTGAATAAATGTCGACCTGCTTGTTTGTTTTGGTTTTAATTATGCAAGATTTATCTCCCTTTGTTGCAATATGCCATTAGGGAGATATTATCTCTCCGGTAAACAAATAAATCCAATTTGACCTAATTTTGCCAAGTTTGAGTCCTCGGAAAAAGTGGATTGAGTTCTAAACTAAAGTATAACACTTTTGGACATAATTTTGGATAAAAAATATAAAACTAGGAGTAGATATGTTCACCTATTCCCCTGTTCACATTTCTTCCTTGTCTTTTGAACAGGAGGAGATGTTTATCCCTTGTTTGCTGCTTAGGACTGAGTTTCGTTTTTTTTTCTCCTAAAGTTTTCTCTATTTTTTTTAACCCCCAGTAGTACCTTGAGTCTTAGTGGCATTATTGTCTAGCTTGAGTTGAAATGATTAAAAAAATACCTGCATCTTATAGACACAGGATTATGGTATTTATTCAATTGAGCCATATTTGGCTCAAGGCTGCATTTCATGAGTTTTTATAGTTTAAATTCTATTAATTATTTACGTGTCTAATCAAGTGACAACGATGCTCTCAGTTATAAATTTTTGTCTACTTGTATAAAGATAAATGAATGCAGTCAGAAGATTGTGTAGCACCAGTTATATTTGCTTTGAAGACCAGTATTTACAATTCTGGTGTTTATCCAAGTTTGAGCATGGTTTACTGACATTGTTGGAATGTACAATTATCTCATTTACCAAAGTAATTCTGTCAGTGCACTTTATTCAGTAGTGAACATTCCTCACAGAGATCAAAGCATTATACATGGAAAATTTTAGATTAAAACTCAGCTATGTGTCAGTGAATGCTGAGCAATCTCCTCACAGATGAAGAAGGGACATGGAACAACAGAAATGTGGTCCTACAGAAGGATGTTGGGAATACCATGGACTGAACATGTGAGAAACAAAGAAGTTTTAGAGAAAATGAAAACAAAAGGGACATTTATTCTTAATGTCAGGAAGAAACTGTTGAAATTTCTAGGGCACATTATAAGGAAAGAAGGTTTGAAAAATTTGATACTCACAGGATATATTGATGACAAGAGGGACAAAGGAAAACAATGCATAATTTACATAGCAAGCTTGAGTAAACAGAGGGTAGAGAAGGGTTTAGGAGAGAGAACAAAAAGACAAGATTTATTAAAAGTTACAAAGCACAGGAAATTGTAGAGAGCCATGATCACCAATGTCCTGAAGGTACACATCACATAGAAGAAGAAGAATACTCTTTGCAAATATACAATTACCTACCAAATAGGGAGTGGAGAACATTCTGTGTTCAACATTTGTATTTAAAACCATTTTTTTATTGACTCAAAAATGGCCACCAACTCCAATGAGAAACAGACATATCTCTAAATCATTTAATTTGTCCAGATGTTTACGGAACAGGGTTTAGTCTTAAAAAAGGTAGACAATAGAAACTATTTAGGTCTAATTGTACTATACCAATCTTTCAACGAGAAACGGCCTGCCTGCCTGCCTTGAAAATCAGCCTTCAAATGTTAAATAAAATATTTTTCTACATTATTTACATTGTTCAGACTTTTGTTCTCATTTTTATTGTCATATTCACAATGTTTTGGCCATTGTATGCTCCAGCCTTCTTCAGGTAATATATGTTGGAATTTGTAAATATCTTAGAAATATAGACAAAATATTTTCCTTTGGTAGATTATGCTTGTCAACAGTACATCTTATGGCATGTTGACCTTTGAAAATATGACAGTTATTGGAATGACTGTTATAGAAATTACTGTTACTCTAATAATTAACAATATTCTTGTTAATTTTATACAAATACTGTCAATTTTATGTTAGAGAATTTGAAGAATTTCCATACCATATCTTGACCAATCTTTGAAGTTGAGAATACTTATCTCAATAATCAACATTCAAAATCATGTCTTTGACATGGGCTTAGACACAAGATTCTGTCATTGGTAAGAAATATGTACATGTCCCAAGGGTTGAAAAGGGTTTTTTGTATATATAAATACCAAATTTACTTTGATTTTTATTCTTGTCATGTACTTGGCTTTTCTATTATAATCTGATGAATTGATTTATTTATTTTTAAATAAATAATAAAAAAAAAAAAACAACCTCTTTTCGTTATCCAAGCTCTGAGCTTTACTTTGTGCTGTGGTCATCTACCAGAATGATTTCCTACTCTTCTGGGACAGTGTTGGATGAAGCACCGGATGGTAGTGGCGGCAGAAAGTGACTCTTCCAAAAGATGTTATTTTGATTCTCCTGGTGCCAATTTCTGTTCTATAAACTGTTTCTTTTCTTTTGACTCACACTGAAGCAGCTGGAGTTAATCTCACTTTGGAATTGTCAAACTTTGCACTTGGATCAAATAATGCTTATTTCTTTCTTTCTTTTATCCTTTCTTTTCCCATGTTTTTGCTTTCTTTTACAGTTTATTTTTTCATTTTGCATTTCTTTCTTTCTTTACTTTCCTTTTGCCTTTTCTTTTCTTTCTTTTTCTTTTTTGTTTTGTTCCTTTTTATTTTAATTTCTTTATTTTTATTTTTGCTTTTCTTTGTTCCTTTTTGTTTCTACTTTCTTTCTTTGTTTCTTGTTGTTTTTTCTTTCCTTTTCTTTTACATTCATATTTTTCATCCATCGTTTTTGTCATTTGTCTCATTTTTTTCCAATTTCAAATTTTTTTGTCATTACGTTCTTCCATTCATTTTGTCAATTGAAAAAAATTTCCTTTTTTCTCATTTTTTATTCCTGTTTCTTTTTCATTTTTCTACTCCTTTTTTATTTTTTTTACGCCAGTTTTTCTTTTATTTTCCTCTTTTTCTTCTTTTGCTCCAATATTTTCCTTGCCTTTTCTTTTTGTTCTCTTCTTTCTTTTAACTTCTTTTCTACTCTCATTTTTCTTTTTTTCTTCTTTCTCTTTCATACTTGCTTCCTATTTGTTCTTTTTCTCTTCTTTCACATTTTCTTTCCTTGGTAAATCAGGTGCATCCTTTTTCACTTTTTTTTTTTTTACTTTCAGTATTTCAGGTGAGAAATAACCTCAAGATTTACAAACTGCCCAATAATTATTTTTATCCAAGAAAAATATAATAAAATAAAAAACAACCTCATTTCATCCATGTCTTCTATCAGATGAAACCAAAAACGAGAGATATAGAAAAAGACTTGACATGCAGATAAAAATATACATAAAAAGTTCTCTTTGGAACAAGATTCTATTTGTTTCTTTAGCACAGAAGCTCCAAAACCTTCTGCTTAAAGTCTTTATTGTCTCCCTAAAAAGGGGACAGGTCTTTATAAATCATTAGTTTCTCAGGACAACAGATGGATTTCTTGGTTTGCAATACTTAAACCCTGTGAATGGTTGAGTTTTAGCAAAATGATTTCTTTACATGAATTTCCTGTTAAACAGATATTTAGATAACCAGATCAATAAATGTAGCCCACAGCTATTAAGTCTACTGTTGTTCCTTCTCTTCTACCCCGGGACATAAGGAAGCAACTCTTTTATTCTTGGTCAAACTGACCATTTTCTCAAGTATAGCACTTGGACCCATTGTCTGAAATTTCTGATATGAGTCACTACTATCATTCCATAAATAATTCAATTTATATTTTCATCTTTGCAGTTTTTATCATGATGTTTAAGCTCTACACTTTGGCCTTCCTCATGTTTATCATTCAAGGTGATGTTTATCCCTCTTATTGGCTATCCTTTTTCCAGAGTGTAGAATACACTAACTGAATCCTCTACAGAGGTTAAAACCCTCCCACCTTCTAGATGAATGCTTGCATACTCAAATATAAACCAGCCCAATATTTACCTATAGGCTCAAGTATAATAAGTCAAATGAATATTGCTCTATAAACTTAAGTATAAACCCAAGCAATTTGCCTCTAGACTCAATTATAATCCAAATGAATATTGGCATTTAGACTCAAGTATAAACTCAACCAATTATTACCTATAGACCTAATTATAATCCAAATAAATATTGATGCTTAGATTCAAGTATAAACCTGACCACTGATTACCTATAGACTCAAGTATAAACCTGACCACTGATTGCCTATAGACTCAAGTATAAACCCGACCACTGATTGCCTATAGACTCAAGTATAAACCCGACCACTGATTGCCTATAGACTCAAGTATAAACCCGACCACTGATTGCCTATAGACTCAAGTATAAACCCGACTACTGATTGCCTATAGACTCAAGTATAAACCCGACCACTGATTGCCTATAGACTCAAGTATAAACCCGACTACTGATTTCCTATAGACTCAAGTATAAACCCGACTACTGATTACCTATAGACTCAAGTATAAACCTGACAAAAAAAATATATTGCTACATGTACTAAGTGAAATGTATTTTTGATCAGTTGCTACACAAGTTCTCAGCAGCATCTTTTACATAATGTTAGGAAAATCTGAAATATGTCTTTGAAGTTTACCTAGAAAAAGATTAGCTCAGCTCTTTATTGCTTGTGGAAGAAATCAGCTGTTGCATAATGCCAGAAGGTCTTGGGAAAAATTCAAAAGTATGGAGTTTTTTTATACCTTGTCCCATCATGATATAGGTATAAAAATTTAGGTGTCAGTTTCAGTCACTTTCCTACTGCCATAACATAACTTTCCTGTACCTTTTCTACAAATATTTATAGTTTCTTCTGTCACACTTCTCACTCGTGGAACTCTCTTCCAGCTTCTTACATCCCAGTCAACTTTGATCTTCAAAAATGCAATGTCAATCATTATCTTCTGTCTTCTTAATACTTGTTCTTTTATTATCCTTTTTCATTAATAGTATATTGCGCTCATATTCTCTAACACTCAGTAACCTCTTGCGTGACTTTATTGCCTTGCTTGGGGTGAAATGATAAAATAAAAAAAAATAAAAAAGATGATCATGACTCTCCACAAATTCCTTTTCTCTATTAACTGTGAATTCCCATGCTTTCTTTGGAAATATAATGGAGTGGTTTCTTATTGCCCTCTACACAGATTGGAATTTAGTTTTCCTTCTCCTAGATTGGTAGCTGGGAGTGAAGAAATGAATTCATACCTTTCCCAAGGGTACTCAACATGAAAGTAAATGCAACAGATGAGCTCGTTGTTTGAACTCGGTTGCTAATTCCTCTTTCTGCACCAATGTGTGAGCAGTGTATAAGAGTAGACTACTCACACATCCTTTAAAAAGTTATTTTTCAACAGGATAGTCACTAATGATGAAAAATGGATTTCTCCATCTTTTTCTGTCTGTCACATCCTTTCAAAAGGTTGGCAATCATGGTTCTCTGCAATTTCCTCTCTTTTATTGCTCCAAGTAATTTTTTTTACTCTTTACAATCTCTTCTACCATCCATTCACACAAACTCATTAAATAGGTTATTTGCTATTTCCCTCTGTTTCTTTTGCTTTCAATGTCTCTTATGTGTGTTAGTTTCTCCAGACCCTCATTCCTCATTATGTATTTCAGCTGTTTCATTCTGATTGTGAGAGTAAATATCCTTGTAGTTTTCTTTAGATCTTATTTCTTTCTCCCATGTTTTATCTACAGTATTCTCAGTGTTTGCTCAAGATGTGTGGCTTAGAATGAGAAATTGGAGAACTGAGTTTAAATTCCAATCAAGATCATTAGATTCACTTATGTGCAAATGCTCTCTCTTTCCCCACCAGCTATGAGTTAAACAGTAAGACTTATATCTAGAAATATCATTGTTATTCTCAAAAAAGTTATTGCAGTATTCATTAGTAAAAAGAAATACTCTTACAAACCAAAATATGTTTCAGTTTTACATGACTTATAAAGTGTTGATAAACCTTAAAAAAAACTCAGTTTGATCAGTAATTAAACCATATGTCTTTTGCTTCAAGCCTCTTCTTTGTCTTTGATGACATTGCCCTGCATCTCCTGTCATATAAGAGATCAGATATTTTTGTAGCAATTCAGCACTCTTTGTTTCCAACAGAATTTCCTATGTCTCAATGCTTTGGAAGATACAAGGATAAAAACATTGAAGTAAATCATTATAACATTCAGAACTGTCTTCAGGATTTCAACCTAAATGGAATTTACAAAGAAAAATAATTATTCTGTATACTGGTGTGATTTAAAAATAATTCTTTTTCAGAAATTGTTCAAATGCAGATAATTGCTCTATGATACTACAGTGTGCAACTGAGTCATTTGAATAGTGATGGTAAGATGAACCGTTTCCAGTAGTTATTATATGACATCATTGAAACTAGTATTTTCAACTGAACCAGCAATATATTGTCTTTTTTAGATTAGTGTTTTGACCAGTAAGCTATCGAGCTGGGATGACTTTCTGCTATGTTATCTTAAAATGGATATCATGTCTTTCTAATTTAGAAACAGTTGATATTTTTTCTGTTTTTGCATGTAGAAGGCAATTTTAGAATTATGTTCCCTTTATTAAATGAAAATAAAATTAATTTTCAATATCCTGATTGCGTGGCAAGATTGTGGAAAGGTGGTTTGACAAGAATATGAATATATATATATATATATATATGTGTGTGTGTGTGTGTGCATCCAGAACTATTTATACTTACATGAAGACACCCCCCCACTCCAGTCAGTTACTGCCTCAGGGTTCTGATTTATATGTAAATTAGTCAAAGCTCATGTCAGTACAAAGTGTATCTGTGTGTGCATAAATATCCAAAGGTGCCAAAGGCCTGCCTTATGTTTAAAACAACTCTTGTTCAAGCACAGGGAAAAGCTTAAATTTTTAATGCTGATTTTCTAAGTGGGAATAATTTTTTAACATTTTTTTTTCTCTATCCAATTTTGGCATTGTACTGGAATAAGTTTGGTTTGGTGAATATTGAGATAATTGTCTTTTTCCACTGTTAGCAATTGTCAGTGTCTAATCCTATGTAATACCAAGGATTTTGAATGCTGATTTTCAAAGCAAGCATTCCATCTCTGCTTGCTGATGCAACACAATCTTCCCAATCTCCTTCCTTCCTATATTACATAAAGACATTCTAGTATTACATAAGGACATTTTTTTTAATCATTTAATCATCCCAATCAAGGCAATAAAGCCACTAAGGTGCACAGAATTACTGAGTGTAAAGGAATGTGAGAAAAAGAAAAACATTATTAAGAAGAGAGAACAATAAAAGAACAGGAATTAAGAATATAAAAAAAAAATAATTATTAAGATGCAAGAAAAATTAAAAAAAACAGAATTTAAGAGAACAGAAGATAATGATTGACATTGTATTTAAATTTTTGGAAATCAAAGTTGAGTTGAAAGCAAGAAGCCGTCAGAGAATTCCACAAGTGATAAGTGCAAGAGAAGAAACTGTTAGCATAGAACTTATGGTTGCATCTATTAATTTCCACTGTAAAATGATGAGACCAAGCTGCCAATCTTAAATTCGTAAAGTTACCAAAGAGGAAAGTTCATCAGGGCAATTACCATGAAAATATTCATAGAAAAGGCACAGGGAAGCTATGTTACTGTGATGGGGAAAGTGACTAGGTCAGGACTGATAATATTCCAGATTCTTCTTTGGATTTTATCAAGAATCTCTAAATACATAGCAGAAGCACCAGACTAGATTTGGCAGCAGTGTTCAATATGTGGTGAATGGTTAGTCAGTTATGTGCCATGCTTGATACATGCTTAGGCGATCATGTATCTTTTGATACATGACTGGCAAGGCAGATTCTTTCCTACAGTAGGTTGCCATTTCATTCTGCGGTAGACCAGGTGCCATCCAAGGCTATAGAACCCGGCCCATCCTGCTATTTACCCATAGCTGTTGGGGAGAAGAAAAGGATTCATACCTTTCCCAAGGGTATTAGCATGTAAGTGAATGTAATGGATTTGACTGGAATTCGAACTCGGCTCTCCAATTTCTTAATCCAAGCTGATATCCATCACTATACGTATAAATGTGTAAGATAAATTCTGGCGAGAAAAATTGTCTTGCTTAGAAATATCAGTGCTGTCGGATTTCAATGCATTTTAAACATATTTTCTGTCTGAATTTCTGGGATAAGGTTTTATCATTATTTACACTTGGTCTATTGTACTCATCTTTGTTGTTGTCATCACAATGTTTTGGCTATTGTGCCTTCTAGCTTTCATCAGATGCTTGTCCATCTGAGTAATCTTTAGGTAATTTCAAACTGAACCCTTTATTTAATCTGTAATGATAGATTGTTCTCATTCTGCTGATCTTTTCTTGGGGATATTTATTTCTTGAAGATTACTTATATGAATAAGTAGCTCATGAAGACTAGAAGACACAACATCTGAAATGTTGTGATGATAACAACAATGATGAGGACAGTAGTCCAAATGTAAATAAAAACTTATTGACACTATTGACATTATTTGTACTGTTGTCCTCATCTTTATTTCCAACATTTATTCACAACATTTCAACCTTCTTCAGATGATATAAGTTGAAATTTCGAACCAAACCCTTTATTTAGTTGACGGGGGTAGATTGATCTAATTCCACCTGTCTTTTTTGGATATCTCATTTTCAGTTAATTACCTTTAATAACTCTCCAAGTTTTTGTTCCCTCTGTGCAGTCACAACTCTGAGTCAAGTCACTTGGATTACTTCAACCCCTGCAATATGGTTACAATACCTCATCTAAGAAATATAGTCAAAAACTTATTTATATTTACATAGGCTCTTAAGAAAGGACTTTTAACACTTTCACTGCAGCATTGTATATAGCATTGTTGCCTGGCTGTGCTGGCCTGTTTTGGGGAAAATAGCAAATTGCCATTTACTGACTCTAAAGATGCTGATGGAAGTGTCTAATGGGGATCAGCATTTTGGTTTCCATAGGAAATTTCTCTCAACAGAATCCATCTTGCAATAGTTTTCTACCATTTGTCTGTGCATCGAATTCTGCTGGTATATATGGTCTGGTAGTCCTGCTGTATATCTCAAAATTCTTGGCAAAAATCAAAGGAGAGTCTGAGATGTATTCAGCCAATAACTTGGCATCTCTACTTCAGTCACTTTCTCACCAACATCACGTGGCTACCCTATATCTTTGCTACAAATATTTTCATGTCAACTGTTCTGATGAGCTTTTTTTCCCCCTCTAGTGCCTCAAAAGCATGCCATGTGACTATCAACTAAGTCTCACTGCTTTACTACTGAATTAGCTACAGGCATCTGCCACTTTTGCTGTTAATAGTTTCCTTTCTCATTTGTGGAAATCCCTTCCAATCTCTTGCTTCTCTGCCACCTATAATCTTCAAAAACTTCAATTGCAATCTTGTCTTCCTGAACCCTGTTCTTTTGTATTTTCATAATTCACTCTTTGCAACCCCCTGCATCCTAGTGACATTTCTGCCTTGATTGGGGTGAAATGATTAAAAAAAGAAAAAGATATCAACTCTATTAAAATATCTGCTCTGTATTTTCCTTTCCAAGAATAATTATTTATTCCTTAGCACTTTCACTGCTGCATTGTTATAGCATTGTTGGCTGGCTGTGCTGGCCCATTTTGGATAAAAAAATGAGAAATTGCAATTTATTGGAAATAAATGATTGTAAAGAAGTTGATGGTGATTTCTAATTAGTATAAGCTCTTTAGTTTTAACAGGAACTTTCTCTTGACAGAATCCATTTGACACAGTTATAAATCTACCATTTGTCCGTGCATTGAATTCTGCTGGCATATCTGGTTTAGTGCTCCTGCTGTATATCTTAAGATTCTTGACAAAATTCAAAGTGTCTAATGTAATTGATCCTGACCAGGCATCTCAATTTCACTCACTTTCTCACCAATGTGACATGGCTTCCCTCTGTCTTTTCTACAAATATTTTCAAGGCAACTGTTCTGAGCTTTTTTTCCTTAGTGCTTCAATTGCATGAATTCAGTTTTTACTAGATTGGCAACTAGGTTTCACTGTTTTATTGTTGATCTAGTGAGTTGCAACTGCCACTTCTCACCTGTGGAACTGCATTCTGATTTATTGCTTCCCTGTGACTACAATCTTCAAAAATTTAAGTGTAACATTAATTGCCATCTTCTGTCTCCCTGAACCATGTTCCATTATTGTTCTTTCTTCACTCCTCCTTACTAAAGTCTTTTCATTCTTTTTGCACCCTGTAACCCCCTGCATCCTAGTAGCATTATCATATACATATCAAAATACTCAGCTATACACACTAAGCTCAATGACACTAAATGTCTACTTTTATATTTACATACACTCTATCTCTGATATTGAGCAGTGTAAGCCATAAATATGGCATAACTTAAAACTATATTTTATCATATATATATATATATATATATATATAAAAAGGATATCCATAAAGTTCATGTGCACTTTAAAAGATTTATAACTTTATTTGTATTTGCGATAGAAATAATTTGTGAAAAGGATTAGAAAGAAATAAATCTATATTTTTGAGGTTTTATTGAAATTTTATTTAAGTTTCCACATGTCCTCCATCATTAGCAATACAAAGGGTAATACGATTTTGCAGTTCACTGAAAACATTTGACAACTGATTTACAGTAATGCCTGAAATCACATTAGTTATTTTAGCTATACTTAAAACTAGGTACATTAAACTTTATAGCATTTTTTACAGATTATTTCTATCACAAATAAAAATAAAGTTATAAATTTTTTAAAGTGCACACGAACTTTATGGACACCCTATATATATATATATATATATATATGTGTCCACACACACACACACACACACACACACATATATATATATATATTGTTATCTGCATACAAGCCTGTTTCACTGTATTACAGCTCATCAGTGTGGCTAGATATCCAATTGCTTGGATTGGAAACCGACCAATTTGGCATCAGCCAGAGATCCTACCACTAAGCTATTGGTACACAGCAGAGAAAAGATAATTTAATCCTATTATATATGAATGTATACAAACGCTAGCAGCCAGAGGGCTCAATTCATTAATGAAGAGCAATGCATTGATACTGTTTTAAAATTATACTTTTCTCCATAGTGCTTGGTTGAATAACAAGAGCATAAAATATATGACATGTTTCACTAGCACATATTAATCCAAACAAGTTTTGTTAAATTCAATTGATATTGTCAGTCATTAATCTTTTTTTTTTCCAATTTTTGAATAAGATGTTTGACATCAGGTTCAAAATTGCAGATAAAGCAACTAAGATGTATGCTGCTCTTGCTGTCTATATGGAAATGTAAAAATACACAGAGCAAGATGGCAATTACATTACAATAAATTAAACAATACACAGACATAGCAACAGTGATAGTCTGTTTTGTTTGCATGGAAGATTTCCAAGCAACGGCAAAGATTTCCATGCATACAAGATGCTAGATGATGGCTTATGTAAGCCGAAAGCTCAGATAAGATTAAAAAACATGTATCAATATGGTGATTTTCTTTCGTCTTTCAATGATAATGTTATTAAGCTTATCAGACAATATGAAAGGAATTTGCTTAAAATGAATAGACAAAACTTGTCTATCTTATTTAACGAAACATCCGTCAATGAAAAATTGCTGCCTGAATATATATATATATATATATATATACACACACACACACACACACACAAGTTTTATTGAAAACAACCTATATGGTATGGTGGTTGAGTTTTTTTATATAATTTCTCATGTGTTCATAAAATTTTTTTTTTTTTTTAGGGCATAAATACTTTCAGTCATTATCAAGTATAAATTTTATCTTATTGATATTTTATGTGAATTTTATCCTTGATAATGGCTAAAAGTAAAGCCAAAAGCCATTAGAAAACATTTGGACAATTTTTATATAATTCATGTCCAGAAAAAGAAAAACTTTTACAAATACATGAAAAATTATATAAAAAAACTCAACCACGGCACCTTGTCGGTCATTTTCAATGAAACTTGCATTAAAGAAGGATTGCTGCCCAAATACACAATGTGTTTGCGTGTATGCATATATATATATATATATGTGTGTGTATTGTATATCTGGGCAGCAATCCTTTTATTATACATGTTTCATTGAATGTGATGGACAGGGAGAATTTCATAAGTTTTTATTTTGTTTTTCTTGCGTCCTTACAATTTTTTCTTTTACGAGGTCTAAGGGTGTGTAGAAATAGTCTATAGGAATTATTATACAAATAAACAATTTATATATATATATATATATATATATATATAGGATTGGCCAAAATGTTTGTTTGGTTTATTTAATAAATTTTATACTTAACTAAACAAATGTTCCATTTTTGTTGCCATTTTTATCTTTTAATTTTACTATATATGATTTTGATTGTTCCTATTTATTCAACTGCTGGTCTCTTCACAAATAAAATGTATTCACTTTGAAACTTTTGTTTGAATCATTGTCGTTCTTTGCTCAATTTGTATTTAATGAATGAGAAATAAAAGAAAGAACAGTAAAAGTAAAAACAAACTTTTTTTAATTATTAACTTTTTACTGTCTTTCCAGAATAATTTATCTTTGCTAATTATTATTTCTTTGCTTCCCTTTGCTCACAGTTCATGCATTCACAAATTCTTTCGATTTCTCCTTTTTCCAATTTTAGATAAACTTTTCTAACAAGAACCAGATATGAATGCCAAAGAATTATCTGATTCCTGTTCTTCAAAATCTACATAATTTGTTCACTCCTCCTACCACTCCTTCCTCACTCACTCTCTCAGCCTTTCTCTGTTTCCGATCCTACTTTTCATTCCACTTTCCTTCTCTTCTTCTCTCTCTTTTTCCTTCAGTTTTTTCTATTTTCTTTTCACTAACCCTCTCTCCTCCCTCCTCTTTTTTAGGCTTTCTCACTTTCCATTTCTATTTTCCTTTTCACTTTCCCTCTTTGTTCCTCTTCCTCTTAGCCTTTCTTATTTTTCAATTCTATTTTCCTTTTCACTACATTCTTGCCTCCTCTCTCTTTTTCATTTAGCTTTTCTCACTTTCCATTTCTATTTTCTTTTCATTATCCATCTCTCCTCACTACTTTTTTTAGCTTTTCTCACTTTTCTTTTTTCTCTTTTCTTCTTTCCTTTTATTGCTTTACATTTTCTTTCCAAACATTCCCTCTTCCTTTATTTATTTTTCTTGTCTAATTTCATACTCTCCTTTTCCTCCTCTCTTTAGTCATTGTTTCTCCTTCCCAGTCTTCTTCTCTTTTTTCATTTTTCAAACTTCTCTTTCTTTGCCCCATTTTTGTGTTGTCTACTCCTTCTCTTTATTTCATCATCTTCTTCTCCTTGATCATAATTTCACTTTTTACTCCTTTTCTTCCTTCATTTTTCTTTTTTCTCTAACTTTAAATTCACTTTCTCCTTGATCTTCCCTCTCCTTCTTTTCTTTTTCTTTCTGCCTTTTCTCCTCCTCCTCTATGTATTCTGCCTTTTCTCCTCCTTCTCCTCCTCAATTTATCCTCCTCCTCCTTTTCTTTTTTCTACCTGAGTAACTTCTCTTTCTCATTCTTTTCTTTTATTTCTTTTATGTTTTTTTCATATTTCCTTCATTTTTGCTTATTATTTTCTTATCTCTGAATAATTAATTTTGACTTTGGAAATTTTTTGATTGAATAGAAAATTAATATAAATTTATTTCCTGTGTTTTGATTCAACTTTTTAATTTGTTTAAAAAAAGATCAACCCTGATTAATAATTATTAAACATCTTTGTGTACCAAAAGCAAAATAATCTCTTTCTGAACTCGACTCTGTATCAAAATGTAAATAGAAAAATAATGTTGATTGATTCGAACATGCTCTGTTGATTTGGCTTATAATTAAAGCTATTTTTCAAAGATGTCTCATTTGTTTCAAATCTTACAAGTACTTTTCTGTAAATTAACCAAATAATTGTAATATCATTACTTGTTTCAATATGTCTGAACACCAGTTCTAAATTAAAAATCAAACTACAATAACATTCCTTAGTAAATGAATTAGAATTCCTCTTTCATCATCAACTTTGGACATCCATCACAAATCTTTCATAGCTGACCTATTCTCAGATTTTATTCTTCATTAGTTGGCCAATGTATGTTTGGACAAGGCATCTGCAACTCCATTTCCCATAAATGGAATGCTACAATATGACTTTGATGGAATATTCCATGCCTACCTGACACCCCTCTGGGATAATGCATTTTTCACACATAATCATCTCTTTACCAATCAGCATCTTAGTTTCAGCAAACTAGGTTTTTCATTGGCTGAGACCTTAAAACTGTAGCAAATTTGAGCCAAAATACCTTTTCCCGTGTACTGCTTTTGGAGCCAATTCTGAGACCACAAACTCAATAAATAGAAGCATTTCGATTTGATTCAAACAGTCAGAACTTCAACCCTGGAGAGATGCTAAACATATCCACGCTAGCCAAAACTTTGACCAAACTACACTTTTTGCGTGCTAATTCTTCTGACTCGACAAACAGCACTTCGCTCTCTCAGGAACATAACTTACAACATACTAAAGAAAGTGAATTGACCCACTATTAAACAGTATTTGTAAATCTTAAGCCAACATCAAGACAACAGCTAAAGGTACACAACTCATACAAACTTTGAACAGTAACTTTAACAGATACACACTAGTGACTGAACTCCCACAAAAGACATTTTGTAATACGATAAAACATCTTGTTTAATTTCATAAACAAATCCTAACCGCAAGCCTACACACATTGAAACTCAGCATAATCCTTCTATGTATTTTATTACAACTGATCGACTTGATCAGCAATATCTATCTTGATTGTGTATGTTCAGTTGATATAAAATGAATGTTATTTTGTTAAACCTTTGATCACGTTGTCCTCATTTTTGATTCCTTCTGAATGATTTTACTTTCAATGATCTTATTTTTATATTTGTTGTGGATGAATGTCTTGTGAACACCTACATTTCTAAGCCAATTACATTCGCCAATCTGCAATAACTTTGTAGATAATTTCTTTCTTGCTGTGCTAACAATGTTCTAAGAACCATAGCTTTTTCTTTGCAATGGTGGCTGTTATTTTTCGTTGTCTCATTTGGTTCAAATTTTACAACTATGTTTCTGTAAATTTACCAAATAAGTGTAATAACAATGTATTATTTAAATGTGTCAGAATATCCGTTCTAAATTAAACATCAAACTGCAATAACATTCCTTAGTAAATGAATTAGCATTCCTCTCTCATCATCAACCCTAGACATCCATAAAAAATCTATGATCTTCCATAGCTTTTGGGAGCTGATCTATTCTCAAACTTTACCAGGCATCACAACTCCATTTTCCATAAGGAGAACACTACAATATGACTTTATGGATAATTTCTTGCTTACTGTCCCAACAGAGTCACGAGAACTGTAGCCTTCTCCTTGTAATAGTGGTTGTTATTTAGGGCAGATTACCATAAAGGTTTGCATTGGTGATATGCTGATGTCATTTGATATTTTGTGCCACTCTAAATATATTTTTGTGCATGTCATTTAGCTTCTTACTGATGGCAGCACTGAGAGGCCCTGAACCTGATCCATCCAGTAAAACTATCTTTAGAGTTGCTCTAAAGAACTCAACTTTGATGTTCCTTTGCAGTGATGACTTCCACACAGTGTCCATCTTTTCCAGTATAGTCATGATTTCAATGTCCTTCTTCTGTCAGCTAATCCAGGTGCCAGTAGAATTCCAACAACTGCAAATAAAAGAAAATTAAGATTTTATAAAAGGCAAGATTTAAAATTGAATAGAATTTGATTTCAAGAACATAGCTTGTTTTGCTCAAAGAAGTATAAATTATCTGTCTATTCATGAAATATTGTTTATTACACTGTTACTTTCCTTATTAGGTAACATTATTTAGACAATGTTAGGTCATCAGTTAGGTAATATCATTTTGACTATATTAGGTCATCTGTTGGGCAACAATATTTTGACAATATTAGGTTGTAGCGACGGTGTTACCATTGTTGTTGTGAACGTCGAACGACAGACATCGGGGTCATCATTATTGTAGTGATTGTGTTACCATTATTGTACTTTGGCTAGTATTATTGTACATTAAGGACAATGCGTGGACACAATGCAATTTATATTTGACATAAATAGCACAAAGTATAAAATACAAAACTGAATGGAATGATTTCAAAACATAACAATTGAATTTATTAATATTTGATATACATGCATGCGAACTGAAAAGGTAGGACAGAGTCGTGTCCCTTTGATTAGGTAATAGTTGTACCTGAGTTCATATTAAAAGGAAGTAATATTAAACTGTAATTTAGAAGGATAAAGTTTGGAATTGTGAGTTGTAAAGTTGGTAAAAGTTCAGAAGAGATTTCAGAGTTCGTACTTGCATGAATGTTGGTAATGGTCTTTAATGTCTGACTGCAATGGCTAAGACGGGAGTTCTTGAAGATTACATCTTGGTACTTGGTAGCAAGAAAGGAGAAGAAACTACTCAGGGAGCTTACATGTGTTGGGTTTATAAATGGTTGTGTACCACGTGGGAGGCTCCCAGCATATGAGCGGGAAAACAGATTGGTCACGTACAGGCGGTTTGATTGGTTGGAACTGACCAATCGGCAAGCTAGATTGAAGGTGATTGACCAATGAATACTTGTTATATATTTTGTAAGATTGTGATGGTGAAAATTATAAGAGGAATAGTGCATTTCCTAGCAGGGGTTAACTAGCTTGTTGTGAAAGAGTCCACAAGGTCATCTGTTATGTAACAGTAGTTTGTTGATATCAGGTCATCATTCAAGTAACATTATTTTGACAATGTTAGGTCATTTGTTAGATAATACTATTCTGAAAATGTTAGATCATCTTTTAGATAAATTATCCTTTCACCTGTCTTAAAACACGCAACCAACCAACACCTCAGTAGCATCAGCTAATTAAGGTGGAATGACACCTGTATCAAAAAAAAATAACATTAGGTATTAGGGTGTTCGGAAACTAATTACAGTTTATCAGAAAGGATATAAAAAACATGGAAGTTAAATTTCTTTAAATATTATTTATCCAAAATGTAATCACCTGCATTTTCAACAACTGGAACCTAACTGGAAGACAAAATTTTGATTTAATGTTTAAAGAAGTCAGGGTTTTAATCACCACAAAGGCTGATAGCATCCTCTTCTTTCTTTCTGAATGTTCATCAACTTATGAAAATGTTCATGTGACCAAAACAAATGGAAATCTGCTGTTGCTAAATCTAGTGAGGTTGAATGATGTGGAAAATAACCTCCCACCCTAATGATATTATTTTCTCTTGGGTTTCTTTTGCAGAGTGTGCTTTTTACAATTTCATGCCAGAGAATAACACCTTTTCCATTTACCAAAGAAGGGCATTTTCAGCATAATGCTTTTCCTACCCAATCAATTTGCTGGCAATAAACATCTGTAGTGATGGTCTCACTCTATAACATTTGCTCATAATGGATGAGATTTTTTATATTCCATGAGACACAAAGCAACGACTTCTGTGGATGGAGTGCCGGTTTTGATGTTGGCACTGGTTTCTGATTTCATGATAACCACTGTCTTTTTTTCATTTTCTGTTGACATGCAAAACTCATTTTTCATCACCTGCAACAATGCAATGCAAAAATGAAAGGTTGGCATCCCTAGTTAAAAACCTGCTGCAGATGGTAGAACATTGTAATCAGTTTTCAAGTTAAAATAACACACTGTTGGATAGAGGAGGAGATTGTAAATGAATTCTAGATACAGTTTTATACCATTCAATATTAGTTCTACATTTTTTGGTTGATTTATCATTCACAGCAGTGGTATATGTAATTACTTTCCAAATATTGTAATATGTGGGAGTTATCTTTAAAAGAAGTGTAACATGTTTTTTGCTAATGCGTTTAAATAAAAATATATTTCCAATTGGTTCAAGAATGTAAATCATCTGACATTAAAATGGAGTTGACCCTTTAATGATAAACTTTTAACCCTTTAATGATATTCTTTTAATCCACTAATCAGTGCTAGTACCATCTATGCTAGTGAAGCATCTTATAGTTTTTCATATTCTTACTGACTTGTCCAACTAACTCCATACCATACCATACCCTACTAGTTTGGAAGTTGATTTTACTTACTGATTAATTACTATAAAACACATTTGGCCAATCAATGATAGTTCATCTAATTTACCAAATGCTTCTATAAACTACCATGAAAAACTTGTAGCATAGAAGTACTACTTTACATTGGATGCAGGTGCTTAAGAACTGAGATGTAGAGAGGTTAAGAACTTTCAAAATAAAGGAATTCAGCACATGGAAGAAATTTATACATTTATTTTTACAAAGATCAATATAGGTCACGAGAGAAAAAGAAAATTATATTTATATGTACAGGTACTACAAAAAAGAAAGAAAACCATATATGGGATTAGTGTAGTATGCATTCGTGTCTATGTTTAATGTGCACGTGGCTTGTTTGAAGTTAAGTAGTCTGTCTACCTGGTGAAAGAAATCTGTGGAGATTACTGACACATTTACTTACTGTGTCCTGTAGCAAGAAAAAGAGAGAGCTTATGTCATTCCTTTTATAGATCTGAATAGAATGCCATTTTGAAGGTGTCTTGGGAGACAAGGTGAAATCCCCACAAATTTCAGTCATCAAGAGGAATAAGAAGAGACGACATTTCTTTAAATCTGTTTACTCAAATTTTCATTGTGCTTGACTGTTAGCCAAACAATACTGAGTGAACATTTTTCTTGAAGAAAACTAGTGTAAATTTACGTTGACAATAATAGAGTAAAGTTTCATTTTCCAACTATTTTCAATGTTATGTACACAGTAACTCTTTTACGTTGACATTCACACTCATATATCCACATTGATAGAGCAAATTAAGTACTCTGTCCCATTGCTAAATTTGCCAGTGAAGTGTAATGTAGTAAGACATATTCACATCTATCACAATAAACTTTTATTCAAATTCTATTACTTTATTAGATGTTCAAGTTGAAAATAAAGTCTTTGTAATCACAATTAATGTCTTGTCTCTTCTGTCCACCATTTCTTCAGTTACTTCTGTTTATACCAACTGATGAGTGCTGTCTTGTCAGATTTCTTTGTTTAATGGTACTAGCTCACTTGAACAGTACTATGAGTAGCAGTGCTAGTGTGTACTTGTCATGGATCCTTACCTACAACTACAGAATGAACTCTTCCTAACACTATGTATTCTATGTCTCTCAAGAGAGAGGGACGAATCGATTTGAGCTGATAGTAGTTCACTCCAAACCAGACTGACAGTCATACTAACACCTTCCACATCTTGTATTATTATTTCGTGCAATATACCTTTGTTATTTCTACTCTTGTGTTCATCTTGTTCTTCCTTGGTCCTAACCTGAACCATAACAGTACTACTGCTAAATCCCTCAACCAGGGAGTAGAGCCTAAGCCTGATTTGGGACCACAAGACAGTGCTTTGTGACCCTCACTATCTTACCAACATTTGCTTTTTTTCTAACTACATTTATATAAGTAACAAATTAAACTAAGCACAACTGACTATTATTAAAGAATGAAATATTTTTGTGCATTTTGACATCGTTCTTGTGTCTTTTATTTTTTTTGTCTAAATCCGTGAATTTGTTTTGCTCGTGCTAAGCCTCAGAAAAACCACTACACAAAAATTCACTATTTTTTATCCATAATGTTGAATGGGTTAAAATTATTCAACTTTTTAATAAGAAAAATCTCAAGCAGATGTTAAGAATTGCTACAAAACATTGTTGATTTATTTAAGATGAAATGATCTGTTATGACATGTCTCTGATTTGTATTTAGATACATTTTATTTATTTTCAGTTTTTCTAGTTGAACTGTTCACCTATATTGCATATGATCCATGACTGTACATAATTAAGTTACAATAAAATTTATATTTTATATGAATACTACCTTATGTAAATTGAGATGTAGTAGAGTTCAGTCCATATGTTCAGTGATCCCCTTATCATAGATTGGGTGGGGTGACAAGACCCTTGCACCAGCCCTGCTGAGTAGTATTTTAATTCTGTTCAAATGCGTGTTCTTCAGTATTCAGTAAAACAGTAATTGTTGTTGCTACGTGACATAGCAAACTGTAGTAGTATAGTATGTAAATTCTAGTCTTATCCAATGATATTGCTTTGTTCTGAATTCTGAATTCTTAAAAGCTGAAAAATCCACTGGTTGAAAATGAGGTGATAAAAATTGTCAGAAAGGACCAATCAATTATTATATATCAAAATATTAAGAATAATAAAAGAAATATCTAGGGCACTTTTATTTATTGTTTCAGTTACCTATGTTTAATCCCAGGAATGAAAAAAAATGTATTACTTTATAATGAACCTAAAATAGTGAATATTGTTGCCACATCTAGTCTAGTGCTTCTGCTATGTATCTAGAGATTCTTAACAAAATCCAAAAAAAGACTCTGCAATATTATCAGTCCTGACTTGGCATCTCGGATACACTCACTTTCCCCTGCCTTATTATCACTTTCCTCTGCCTTTTCTATAAATATTTTCATGGCAATTGTTCTGATCAGCTTTCCTTTTTGGAATCTCAACATCATGGATTTAAGCATAGTACTATATTGGCAGCTAGTTTAATAGTTGAAAGAAAGGTATGACAAACATGCATGGAGATTTTTAGTGTCGATATATACATGCTGATCATGAATTTTTCCTGTACAGAGAAACTATAACATATAAAACAACAAGCAGTGTGAAAGGGATGAAAACAGAGAGAGAGTCTTACTTGTAATATTTTGCCATGGGGAAAAAGTCCAAGTTTCTGGTGTCTTTTATACTTTTGGTGAGACCACATGGTTTTCTCTGTATGCCCTACCATTGTGGGCTTGTGACGTTCATCTTCACTTTAGCCTACATAGCAACTGGTCTGGGTAAACATGTCTATTCTCCAGGCATGATGACTAGCAACTTTGTTCCAACTATGAAATGACGTTACTCACTGGCTGTCACATGATCCTTGTGACTTCATCTCAACCAAAGAGGTATAATTGCCCTTTGCATCACATCCCCACAGTGCAATTTAATTTTCCCACCTTGTTAGTCTATTTCTACATAATTTTACATTGTGGCAATATTTATTACTATAGGTAATTGCAACTATGCCCTAGAAACATCTTGTCATTTAAAAATAATGACACCCATACAGAAGTACTGTGCTTATATTTCTGAGGAATTGTGGTAATTTGCAAGTTCTGGGATTTTATACTTTAGCAAAGAATCAAGACAATACATAGTAATTGTTCTGGAGTAGTTGACTAGTGGTTTCACTGACAGGAGGTCACAAATAATAATATAGCAATCTCAAAGGGGAAAATATCTTTCTATTAGGTTGTTAGAGATTGGTATTGCTTCATTGAATGTTGTAGTGCATACCTGTGACTTGGAGGTTAATTGGAATTCATTAATGTCACTTGGACAATGGACATTGATGGCAGACCATGTGAGGTTAGTGAGGGATTCAATTCAGAAATCACTCACCGTTTTTAAATATCCCAGACTACAATTAATGTTATTTTCAAGAAGAAATACGTTTGCAGAAATTATTTTCTCACAAGATTAATTATTTCATTGTTTTCATGTACGTTCTTATTTAAATGATGTGAAAAGGCATTCTTCAGAAACAAAGGAAGCAAAACTATAAGACATACGATCCATCTCTCACTCTAAAAATGAAAGATTTAGCTTGATGAAATACCTGTGTTTATTAATATCATCATCAGGTCATGTTAATAGGAATAAATAGATAGTGTTCGTTCTTCTTTTATGTGTCATATTCCTTAAGGATGTGTGCGATCATAGCTCTCTACAACTTTCTATCCTATGTAGCTTAGTCAGAGTTAATTAAACCAAAGAAACTAATTAGTAGATCCAGATGGTGGCTACAAACTTTTAACCTATAGTATAACTTGATTTCCAGACTTCAGATATTGAAGAAAGCAAAAAAAAAAAAAACTCATTGATCAAAATGGGATTAAAACTGCACGGATTAACATTTTTTTTGTGTTGTGTCCCTTCAGAATATGGTGATAATGCCTCTCCACAACTTCCTATTTTTTGTAGCTTTAAGCAACAATGTTATTTGATGTTTCCCTCTGCTCTGCTGCCTTCAGTATGTCCTATGAGTATCAAATTTCCCAATCCTTCTTTCCTCAAAAAATTTAGCGTCCCAGAAATTTCAATTGTCTCTAAGTAGCCTAAAATAGTCCATATAATGTTGACAATATTTCATAAGTTTAAAAGAAATCTTGAGGACAGCTGAAGAGTCAATTGGCTGGGAAATATTGCTTTGAACTATAGATGAAGTTATTAAGTTTTAATAATTACAATTCTTAATCTTGGAGCTTCAAACAATATTTAGAAGTTGTTAGAATGTCAGAGCTAAAATCTAGTGATTGAAACTAAAAATATAAAGACAGTATTTGGATGAATTCATTGAATAATGGCATGACTTGAGATATATCTTAGAACTTCAAACAGCCCTTAAAAAGCTCACGGTCACAGGTGCCAAAATAGTGATTATGGCATCAGAGGTGATGACGATATTGGACTGAAGAATTTATAAAACAGTAATAGTACTCAATTTCAAAAATGCTGATAGTACTTGACAATTTTTGATAGTGCACTGTTGAAATATGATAATCAAAACAACTATTATAAGAACACCAATCTAATTTATAAAATTGTAGAGATTGAAATAACAAAGATAAGGATGTTTGTCATGAAATAAAAGCAGTTTATTTGGAAATTCAGACAATGCACTTGTAAAGCCACAAAGCCTCCATGACTTACATATGGTAATCAAAATGAAAGTGATTATGTTATTTATCTAAAGAATATATATATATATATATAAAACAGAGGATGTCTTTCTGTGTGATACCTTTTCACTTGAGATCTATCTGACCAATTTTCACTAAATCTGGCATATATATTGTACAATGTGAGAGATAGGTTTTTAGCTTAAAAAATTGATAATTTAAAAAAAAAATCAATAATCAATAAAGCCAATCAAAAATCGCTAAATTCAACTTTTTCCTCCAATTTCATTCAAACTCAGTATGTAGGATACTTACATCATGACAAGCTCAATGATACCTCATTTTTATTTCTATGCCACTGCATTTAATGAAAAACATGCAAAAAATGATAAATCAATTTCAACACAAATCTAAAATGAAAAACTCCCTCAATTTTCAAGCAATCTAATACAAACTTCACTCAGTTGTAGCCAACAATAAGTTGATTGTTTAACAGTCATTCAACTTGATAATTGAGTTCACCTATATAGTAAAAACCCATGTAAATAACAAAAAATGATGATTTTTACTGGTTTCTTTCTTATTTTTCATTGATCTTTCAACTAATTTTTATCAAACTTAACAATTGCTTTATAATTGCTCTTTTATATCCCTGGTAGCACACAGACAAATTGAATTTCAAAAACTCCAAAGTAATTGTGGTCTGAAGTGGGTCTTCATGTTGCCTGTTTTACTTCTTCATGTCCTTGGTTAACTTCAATTGAATAAATACAGACTACTTCTGTTATATCAGTAATTGTATTAATTCAAAATGCTTTTTAATGAAAGTATTTTAAAAGTAATTGAAGAAGATAGACTCTGTTACATCAAAACATGATGCTGTTTTTGCTCCATTCTAATTGAACACTTTTTCTGATCAACCAGCTCAATATGGCTACTAGTAGAATAATAAAAGTAAATATCTTTCAACAACACATGAACAGCAGATGATCATAATACCGGGCTTGAAACAAGTGTGAAAATACTAGTCTGTGGAATAGTCATGAGACACAATATGAAATCATATAACAGCCTAAGTCTAAAAAAAAATCCTGAGGGTGGTTTAAGAGTCAATTGGCTAGGAAATATTGCTTTGAACTATAGATGAAGATATTAAGTTTGAATAATTACAATTCTTAATCTCAGTGCTTCAAACAATATTGAGAAGTTGTTAGAATGTAGGAGCTAAAATCTAGTGATTGAAACTAAAAATATAAAGACAGTCGTTGGATGAATTCATTGAATAATGGCATGACTTGAGACATATCTTAGAACTCTTAAATGATAGTGTCAGGGAACGAAAATGGCTAAATATGCAATCTGTCTCTCACTCCCAAAAGAAAAACTTATCTTGATATTGAGGAAATGTCCATGGTTATTCCCGTCATTGTCAGGTCATGTTATTATGAATGAATTAATTTTCTGCATTTTGTGAAATATTTTTGTTCTTCTTTTATCTGATGTGTTCCTTCAGGATGTAGGCAATCACGGCTCTTCACAACTTCCTGCCCTTTTCAGCTCTAAGCAATGTTTGTCCTTTTACTATCCCTTCCACCTGCTGACCTACTATCCATTTACACAGGCTCGTTAAGTAGGTTACTCACTGTTTTTTGTCCCTCTTGCCTTTAATATTCCTGTGAGTGTCAAATTCTCCAAACCCTCTGATGTGTTCCAAAGATTTCATCTGTCTCTTTATGTTTCTAAGTATAAGTGTCCTTTTTGTTTCTATCTTCCTGAAGTCTTCCTCATTATTCAAATGATCTATCCATGGTATTCTCAGTACACTTCTGTATAATTACTTCTCACTTTTGTGTTTGTTGTTTTTTAAATAATTTTTTATTTAAGATTATTTTCAAAGAACCCATACTTTGAAATTTCTGTTCTATTATTGGTTTGTTTGAGTGAGGGAGCAGCATGCCAACAAATTGATACTGGGGTACAAGTATACGAAGCCCAATATACCCTTCCTGATACCCAGACTGATAAGGGTAGAACAGGCATATTTATCACAGCTGAATATGAACAGTAGGGTGAGTTTTTGATAAAAGCAGTGCATAACCTTGCAGGTGAGCCCAATTAGAAATACCTTCAGGTTGGGTAAATCTGTCCACTTAGAGAGTTTTTGATTGGGGGTGCTCCCAAGTTGCTTTGGCTGCCTCATCATTCAAACTAAAAAAAACAAAATCTTTCAATACCTAGCCATGATGCTCCCTCATTACTCTTCTTCATGAACAGAGACGGACAATGTGTCCTGACACATGGCACAGTGGATAAAGGCATTGGTTAGATCCAGTGACAGGACCCAAAGAGTGTGAGTTCAATACCCGGTTAAGGCAGTGGAGAACTTTCAGAGGGAAAATTAGGAGGAGATAACTGATAACTGACATCCATCAAACATGGCACGTGGAACTAGAACAGTCTACCCCAGTGAACGAAATCAGTTCGAAATTCCAACCACCTGAAGAAGGCCGGAGCGTACAACAGCCGAAACATTGTGATAAATATGGCGACAAAGATGAGGACAATAGTCCGAATAATGTAAATAATGTACATAATACCTCATCTCAGAAATATAGACAGACTCTGATTGTGTTGTGCATGAAACTCTTAATCATATTGCTGGTGAGGAAAAAATGTATATTTATTTATACATTGTGTATTTAGACTGCAATCCTTCATTTATAGATGTTTCATGAAAGATGACAGACAAGGTACTGTGATTAAGCTTCTTATTTAATCTTTCTTGTGTTCAAACAAGTGTTTCCTTTTCTGTTCACAGAGTGTGTAGAAACTGTTCAAATGTTCTGTAATTCCAAGCATTTTTGGCTATACTTTTAGCCATTATCAAAGATGATTTTATTTTTGCTTTTTAATTGGGTGTATGTCTGTTTCTAGAGTTATTGGGATGTTTTATTTTCCAAACACAGTTAACACATTGTGGTCGTTATTGTAGTTAATATTATTGAGTGTTGTCTTTTTCTTTTTTTATTATTAAGGCTTCCATTGTTTTTAATCTTTTTTATATCTGGATGAGGTTAATTAATACATATAATTGTTTATTTGGGTAGCAATCCCTATTTTATACAGGTTTCATTGAAAATGACTGACAAGGCACTGTGATTCTTTTTATTATATTTTTCTTATATGCATACATTAGATTTCTTTTTTGGTATTAGAGTGCATAAGAACTGCCTAAATGATCTTTGGATCCAAGCACTTTCAGCTAATCTGTTAGCCATTATCAAGAATGTTTCTTATTTGTCTGAATATGTAGATTTATTTTATTTTTGTAATATTAGAAATGTCTCTGTTGTTGAACAGTCTGCACATTGTGTTTGTCTCCATAATTAATGTCGAAACGATTTTACCCTGCTCAACTTCCCCAAAAAATGAACTAATTACAAAATCATTAGATTTTTGGTCAGAAGCAGAATGATTTCCTTGGTCAGACTGAAAACTTTCCAGCACTACACACACACACACACATATATATATATATGACAAAGTGGGAAAAGTTTACTTGTAACATGTTTCGTCTTTCAGGACTTCATCGGACTAAATTTGTTATGTTGTTACAACCACACATGCATGCGAATGAGGGATGCTGAGAATTTTAGAAATTTTTTTTTGTCTTGTTGAATTCATTTAAGAGTCTTTTAACAAATTTTGTCCGATGAAGTCCTGAAGGACGAAACATGTCACAAGCAAATATTTCCACATTGTCATGCAATTTCCCCAATGCTGTTCTTGATATATAACATTATATATTGTTATCGCATACATACATACATACATACATACATACATATATATATATATATAAAATGTGTGTGTGTGTTTATATATATATATATATATATATATATATATATAAACATTTTTTCTCGTGGGAACCTTCACATTTCTTGCATGAAATTGGATTAGTTGTTTCATTCCTTGTTGTCCTTTCGCCTCTCTCTCTCTTCCTCTTCCTCACCATCATGACCCACCCTCCCAACCGAAGTGACTCTCTACCTTCTTCTCTTCCCCTCCACCTCCCCCCACCATCTCGTTTCTAACCGGAAATTTAGAGCAGGGCCAAAGGGACATCATTAATTATATTTGCTCCCTTTCCCTCTTTCTCGACTGTATTATCTCTTTCTCTCTATAACTTGCATCCACTCTTCTTTCTTTTCTTTTATAATTCCCTCTCTCTTTCTTTCCATTTCTCTACCCTTGCTCCCAGCCCCTACCAACTTGTTTATAAATCATGACTTAACAGGGTACCTAATTTGGGTATTTCCTGCCTTTTGAGGATTTATCCGGTGGTAATTTTCTAACCTAATTGTTTTTGTTTATCAAAAAGTTCGAAGTAATTGTATTTTTTCAGTACTTGTCTTGCTTTTTGATCATTTACTAAGCTTAGTTAGTCTGGCTCAATCCCATAATTATTGGGTGCCAAATGAAGAGGGTCGAATTCACTTCACATTTGATAAATATGTCAACAGCTCATACAAATACTCACCTTTGTGTTAAAAAAATGCATTTCTGCAATATTTAAAACTTAAAATAAGTAACATTTGTTTCAAATCAGATTAATTAAACTTTAAATTCCTTAATATTCCTCAAATAATGTTTTAAAAAAGTATATTTTATTGTTGGAAAATTTTTTAATAAGGAGAATTACATTGCAATGAAAGACAGCTGAAAATGATACTAAACAAGCTATTCTAGCAAAACAAAAAAAAACAAAAAAAAAAACCTTCCAGTTAATTTAAATTTTTAAATTTGCTTTAAATTAGTTTTCAAATATAGCAAATTACATGATCTTGTGGTCTGTTGCTTTTATTCACCCTATTTAAAACTGTCAAAATGTGATACTAATGGTGCCTCCATTGAGGACTGAACCCACTACACCAGGCCTGCACAACTAAAAAAATGTGAAGAGGGTCACGTTGCTCCTAGAAAATTCCCTACTGTCAGCCACATCTGTAAATTTTTAAAATACCTTTACTACTGAGTAAGAAAAATGGTGCAAAATTATAATAATGCAGCAACATCCACAGAAACCGTAATACCTCTGATGAATTTTTAAAAATGAAAACTCTTTCTTCAAACATTTCTTTTAGCTTTAATTTCAAGTGAATAGATTATTTAATAATTATTTCCATTAAGCAAAATACCATTGATATTTCTGAGATGAGGTGTTGTAATTATTTTGATTATTTACATTGTTTGGACTCTTGTCCTCATCTTTGTTGCCATATTCACTCCTTCAATACCTGTCTAGATTTCTGAGATGAGGTATTGTAATTATTTTAATTATTTACATTGTCCTGACTGTTGTCCTCATCTTTATTGCCATATTCACTTCCTTCAATACCTGTCTAAATTTCTGAGATGAGGTATTGTAATTATTTTAATTATTTACATTGTCCTGACTGTTGTCCTCATCTTTATTGCCATATTCACTCCTTCAATACCTGTCTAAATTTCTGAGATGAGGTATTGTAATTATTTTAATTATTTACATTGTCCTGACTGTTGTCCTCATCTTTATTGCCATATTCACTCCTTCAATACCTGTCTAAATTTCTGAGGTGAGGTATTGTAATTATTTTAATTATTTACATTGTCCTGACTGTTGTCCTCATCTTTATTGCCATATTCACTCCTTCAATACCTGTCTAAATTTCTGAGATGAGGTATTGTAATTATTTTAATTATTTACATTGTCCAACTGTTGTCCTCATCTTTATTGCCATATTCACTCCTTCAATACCTGTCTAAATTTCTGAGATGAGGTATTGTAATTATTTTAATTATTTACATTGTCCAACTGTTGTCCTCATCTTTATTGCCATATTCACTCCTTCAATACCTGTCTAAATTTCTGAGATGAGGTATTGTAATTATTTTAATTATTTACATTGTCCAACTGTTGTCCTCATCTTTATTGCCATATTCACAATGTGCACTGAAGATGTTGGAACAGGCGCTAATGAATTCCTGAATGAGTGGTCATGTGTTTGCCCATACAGTCAGGGGGTAAGAACATTACATTGTAATCGCATACCATGTAATCAGGGGAAAGACCAAGATTTAGTCCTGAAAAGAATTCTCATTACATGGGTGTTGACCACCACATCTATAATGGTCAATGTATTAAAATCCTCCTCCTTTTTAACAAGAAAAATCTCAAGTTGATGTTAAAAATTGCTGTAAAACATTGTTGATTTATTTGAGATGGAATGATCTGTTATGACATGTCTCTAATTTGTATTTAGATACATTGTATTTATTTTTAATTAATCTAGTTGAATTGTTCACCTATAATGCATATCATCGATTGTTGTACATAATTAGGTTACAATAAAATTTGTATTTTATATGAATACTACCTTATAATAACTGAGATGCTAAGGAGGGGCGGGGGCTGTATCACAGATTCTTCACCCTTGCACCAGCCCTGATTCAAATAACATCAGAAAAAGCAAACAAATTTATTTTCAACACAATATTTATTTATTTGTGTCTCTTTTTTTTTTTTTCTACTTGTCTGCTAGTACTTTCTTTGGTTGGAGCCTGGCCTTTGGTATATTTCTTGTTAGAAAGTATCTACTTTTTATCAGCTGCCACAATTTGTTTGCAAAAAGAACATTTAAATATAGTCTATTTTTTCATGCTTATGTGGAAACTACACATCAAAGCAACTAGAGGCTCTAATTAACTCTGAATTGCTTAGACATCTTGGGGTCTTCTTTTAGATAAGCAATATGACTTTCACTTCTCTAGGTCAACTGCTGATGTGTTAACGGTTATTAGTGAAAGAGTCTATCAAGCTTTAGATAAGAATGGTGAGTGTTGCTTTGGATAGCTCAAAGGTATTTGGGAGCGTCTTCTTCACAAATTAAAAGGTTATGGTATTTCTGGATGAAATGATTAAGTTTTTCTTATTGAATCATGAAATGACAGTTGTCTTCTAGATTTTTTTTTGCATAAATGCCGGTGTCCCCCAGGGCGCTATCCTTGGACCTACATTGTTCCTAATTTTCACCAATGACCTTCCTGATGTCACCAGTTCTCAACTCAGTATCTATGCTGATGACACAACCATTTATTCCTTCCTTAATAGTAAGTCAATAAGGTCAGATTGGCAGCTGATCTAAAAAATGATCTACAATCCGTTGTTAACTGGGGCAAGGAATGTCTTGTTAATTTTAATGCCTCCACAACAAAACTGCTCTCTATTAATCTATTTGTAATGTCAATCGATGTCTCCAGATGCCCTGATCTATCCCCTATCCTTCTCTTCATCTTTTCCTCTATTGCTCCTATTTGCTCTAGCTCCAACTCTCTGTAACCCCTTGTGTGCAAGTGGCTTCCTGCCTTGCTTGGTGTGAAACACTTTGAAAAAAAAAATCATCTGAGAGAAACCTTTCTACCTTCCATCAGCATAGCTGGTGCTAACCCTCCAGGAGAGTAATTTGTTGTGCCTACTCGTACAAGCTGATATGAAGTGGAAAGATCATATCAAACTAATTAATAAGTTTGCTGCTTAGTCACTGGGTCATGCTAGACAATTTTTCTCACCAGAATCTATCTTACATACTTACAAGTCTGCTATTCATCCATGCTTAGAACAATTTTGCCACATATGGCTTGGTGTTCTGGCTATATATTTAGAGAACCCTGATAAAATTCATGGCAGAATCTGCAGTGTTATTGGTCCTAACCTGGCATATCAGCTTCAGTCACTTTCCCATTGCTGTAACATTACTTTCATGGTAATTGTTTTAATGAACTTTCCTCTATGGTACCTAAACATTATGAATTTAAACATATTAGTAGATTGATAATAAGGTCTTATCATATTACAGTTGAAATGACAAGATGTAACCGTAAGTTCTATACTAATATTTTCTTTGATTGCACTACTCACTTGGGGAACTCTCTTCTGGATTCTGGCCTTCCAATCAGGTTTGATCTTCAAAAATTTCAATTCAATATCAATCATTATCTTCTGTTATATTAAATTGTTTTTTTTTATTGTTATACCAATCAGTGTGTATCTTACATTATTAAGGCATTGTCCCGACTTTTTTCTCAATATGTTAAGACGTTCAGAATGTTGTTATTTAAAGGATTCAGATATCTTGTTTTATGACTTTTTAGTTAAATTTTTATTTATAATTTTTTTTTATTTTAAATTTTATATTACAACATGCTGTAATAGAATAACGTGCCACTCCCATGAGTGGCGGCAATATAGGTGGTAACCACCTATAAGTATCCGTGAGGACAGTGGATGGGAGATTCGAGCTGGGATCTGCAAGAACTAGCAGCCTTCCAATAGCAGCACACATACAACTGTACTGATTTGCGACGACTGTGCGCATAACTATTATTTCCTTGCTTGGTGTACTAGTTTCTACAATAAACTTGTTACTATTTATCCACCGTGTTTGTCCATTCCATATTCCTATTACCACGGAATATAACACAACAATACAACAATCTTTCAGTTTTTGCTTTTCCCCTTATTTTAGATAATGTAAGATACAAATATGGTAGTAGGTACACTGATCAGTAGAACACATACTAAAGTCGCACCATTTTTTTTTATTTTCTTTCACACTCAGTAACCACTTGCATTTAATGTCTCTGATGCCTTGCTTGGGGTAAAATGATTAAAAAAAATAGTAACATAACCAAGCTGGTACAAGTGATTTTCAAATATTTAGCACATGAAAACCCATTATCTTTTTTTTTTATTTATGCATTTAGTTATTTAGTGTTTATCTACTTGCCTCTTGATCTGTCTGAGTCTTTTCAAATCTGTCTGCTTGAATATTGTCGTATTAAGCTGTCTGTGTGTTTGTATCCATCTACTCCCATCTATCAAACGGAGACAATTTCAAATTGCTCAAGAAAATCTGTTTGAATATATACATGAGGTCAGTATTCCCATTTGATATGTTTTATTTTATTTTATTATTTAGCACCCTTCACATTGTTTCGTCGTCTTTTCTTCTTATTTTCCGATTAGGATATGGAATGTTATATGAAGCCATTTAAGAAGACTTCCTTTCGTTTATTCAATGTACAACTGGTTATGCACAAAAACAAACCATTTCTCTTAAATTGTCTCTTTTCACCACCAATGATTACCCAACGTTTCTTACGTCTCTCATAATTCATATATATTTTCATGCTGGAAAATAAAAAATGCCAAATAGTGTTTCTTTTTTTTTAGTTTTTGTTTCTCTATTAATGTTTCTTTTTTTGCTTTGTTTTTTTTTTCCTCATAAATTTTTCTGGTTTTTATCAAGGTAACTTTCACTCATATACTGTTATCTTTTCTTTATTTACAATCGATTTTATTATTTTAAAATTTATTTCTAACTTATTCTTCCCTAACAACTGTCGGGCTTGAGGAAAAGAGAAAAAAATATTATTCTAAAGATTTGATCTTACAATATAATCGAATGTTTCGCGTATTGTAATTATATTCAAGATATACAGGTAGCATAATGGTGATCAGCACTGACACTGGAATCGATGAGCCATGTTCAAATTCCAGTTTAGTCTTCAGCATTCTCTTTCACAATAATGACTTTGAAAAAAGCATAAATCTATCACTTCTCCTCTCAAGCTAGTGGTTAAACAGCAGAGTGGACTGAGCTTTGAGAAGGGAACAGGAAACCACTCCTTTCCAAAGAAGTCACTGTAATTCATAGATAATAGAGAACAGGATGCTGTGGAGAGTCATAATCTGACAGGACATAGCATGAAAAATAAATTCTTTCTCCAATTTTCAGGAGAGGTACTGCTAGGAACTTTTGTACACACCTAATTTATTTATATTTACTAAGTGTTCATATCTGCAGTAAGGGTTGACTTTTCCAGCAGATCAAGTCTTCGTTCTTCTGCAGTATCCTTTTCTTTTTTTTTTTTTTGTCATGTGGATGGTTTTAGCTCTTCTTTGAATCTTTTTTGTTCTTCCCAACGATTTGATAACCAAGTAAAGAAATCTGTGATTCCTGAAAAGAGATGACATTAAAAACAAAAAAAAAACAAATATTGTTTTTTCAAAGCTATGACATTGTCACATCACGAATCCCAAAACCCATTAGGGTCATAATGGGTGCCACATGTACTGCAGCCATAGCAGCAATGGTGTGTCTAGGCTAAGATTGTTTGATGGAGTTCATCACTCTTGAAGTTGGTCTTGAATTCAGATTTTTTGTTCTCTGAGATTGGTTGTCACCTAAAGGCAAGAGAGATGAGTCAACTCTGCTATTTAACCCAGATGGTAGGGGGTTAACATAGGGATTCATACTTTTTCCAAGGGTATTTCTGTAAAAGTGAATGTAATGAACTTGGCCAGAATTTGACTCGCATCACTGATTTCTCTTTCCAAACCACTAACCACCCACACATGACATTGTAGTTCTAATTTATAATCTTTCTTTTTCATTAATCAAATTTAATTCTGTCAGGGTGATTGCAATTAAATGATCAGCAGTGGACCTAGAAGAGTGAAACCCATACAGTTTGTCGCTCAGGAGGTTGTTTCTAGCGAGGTGATCAAATACCTCCTTGTTGATAATAGATTCAAAGAGTTTTCTAATGACATGAGGAAGGCTGGTGAGTCATTATTATGACAGGAATGAAAACAGTTTACAAAGTGTGTAGACAGGGAGGGGTTAATATAGAAACATTTCTGGAACAGCTGACAACTTCTACAGATTTGGGAATCATTTCACTTTCAGGTAAGTTAAACAACTTTGCCTAAATTAGAGATAACTCAGGGCTAAGGTTATAAAGTACAGCAACAGGGATTTTATCAAGACCAGTAGTGTTTGTAAAGTCAGTGTTTTTGATAAGCTGAGATCAAAATTTAAATAAAAAAATCAGAACAATCAATCATACATCAGGTTTCAATTGGGACAGTAAGTTTCATTGTTCATCCCAACTGGTGGTTCAATTATTATCATAAAAACTCAAATAAAGTACAGCAACAGGGATTTTATCAAGACCAGTAGTGTTTGTAAAGTCAGTGTTTTTGATAAGCTGAGATCAAAATTTAAATAAAAAAATCAGAACAATCAATCATACATCAGGTTTCAATTGGGACAGTAAGTTTCATTGTTCATCCCAACTGGTGGTTCAGTTATTATCATAAAAAAACTCAAATAAAGTACAGCAACAGGGATTTTATCAAGACCAGTAGTGTTTGTAAAGTCAGTGTTTTTGATAAGCTGAGATCAAAATCTAAATAAAAAATCAGAACAATCAATCATACATCAGGTTTCAATTGGGACAGTAAGTTTCATTGTTCATCCCAACTGGTGGTTCAGTTATTATCATAAAACTCAAATAAAGTACAGCAACAGGGATTTTATCAAGACCAGTAGTGTTTGTAAAGTCAGTGTTTTTTGATAAGCTGAGATCAAAATTTAAATAAAAAAATCAGAACAATCAATCATACATCAGGTTTCAATTGGGACAGTAAGTTTCATTGTTCATCCCAACTGGTGGTTCAGTTATTATCATAAAAACTCAAATAAAGTACAGCAACAGGGATTTTATCAAGACCAGTAGTGTTTGTAAAGTCAGTGTTTTTGATAAGCTGAGATCAAAATTTAAATAAAAAAAATCAGAACAATCAATCATACATCAGGTTTCAATTGGGACAGTAAGTTTCATTGTTCATCCCAACTGGTGGTTCAGTTATTATCATAAAAACTCAAATAAAGTACAGCAACAGGGATTTTATCAAGACCAGTAGTGTTTGTAAGTGTCCTTTTTGTTTCCATTTTCTCTAAAACCTTGTCATGTTCAGTTCATGGTATTCTCAACATCCTTCTGTAGAGCCATATTTCTGTTGACTCAAGTCTCTTCTTAATTTATAAAGAGATTGTCCAGCATTCACCGCCATTACATAACTGTTCAGTACTCTTTTTTTTTTTTTTCTAATAAAATTTTCATTTCTTAATACTTTGCTTAACTTTTGGAAGGCATTTTTTGCTATTCCAATGTACAATTTAAATTGGTTAGTGTGTTTTTTGCAACAAACACAATAACCTATGAAGAAGCATGATCGTCTTTATTCAACAGAGAAGTTTGTATTTACTAACTGCACATTTTGAAAGTGGTGCACCAACCTTTTAACTTAGAAAACTCTTTATTATATTTTTTTTATTTTATGTATACTTTGGCTGACCATAAACACAAGTTTGAAGTCCGCAAATATCTAAACCGCTACATTATTATTAATGGTGGGAACCATGAATGTCTTCTTGTTTAAAACCTGGCTACCTGCTGTCGCTAAATCGGCCAACAACTAGCCACATGACCATCCAGGTGACATCACATAGCATTGCTGGTCAGTCAATAAGGCTGGCCACTGACTGTATATAATTATACAATTGTGCACACACGCATGTGAGATTTAACCATTTCTCATGCCAAAGATGAAAGATCTTACAATGAAGTAACGTTCTTCGCAGAACAGATTCTCCTTGTAATTTAATTTTCAGAATATTTTTTTTTGTTTTTACCAAAAAAAAATAATAATTTTTTAATTATAAATTTTTGTTTTTATTTATTTAAGGCTGGACATTTGGTTAATTACAAGATTTTTTTTTTTCCTTATTTCTTCAGCATTTTTCATTACTTAGGAAGAAAAATTTATTCACCTCTTATATGTCTATCCGTCCATCTATCTCTCTTCGCCTGTTCATATCTACCTGTCAGTCTTTTGATGTAACTATTTCCCCAAAAAGAAAAAAAAAACAACTCATAAATTACATATTAAAAAGAAAAAAAATGCATAATTCTATCTTTTTTATTACTGATTAATTTTATCACTAAATGAATGATTGATTAAAAAATATGCGCTAGAATTATTACGATACATGAAAAACCGAATTTGGGCCGCTTTCATCACTGGAAGGTTGAATACTAACTCTGCACTTGACTCGAGATCACGTCGTTGTCTTTCGACATTCTCTTTTAAAATGACACTCTTCCCTGACCGTCATGTCACACTTTTCTTCCTGCTGTAACTCGAAATGCTGGAATGTATATTTTATTTTTGTCGTTCTCTCATTTTATTTATTTATTTATTTATTATTTTTTTACTTACTGCGTTTTCTTTTCTTTTCTTTTTTTGTTATTGTTGTTTTTTTATGCAAGTCTTTTTTGTTTTTAATTTTTACTTCGTATTTCTTTTATTTCGTCGCCATTGTTGGCCATATTCTAATCAAGCTGCCTTTCTAATATTTTCACACCATTTTCTACAATTTCTTCCCTCGTTCTTTCCCCCCTTTTTCTTCCTTTCTTTGTTTCTATTTTCGTTTAGGATCGTCACAACTCTTATTTTTTTCATTTATTTTGTTCCTTTCATTTTCTTTTTCTTTATCAATATCGAATAGAGGAGGAGTGTGTAAGGTTTTACTTTTAAATGTATTATTTTCTTGGGCACATTTATTCAAATCTCCAACTTGTGATAAAATAAAGGAACGGTTATATTTTGCGTGTATGCACGCGTTAGCTCACCTATCTTCTTTACTACATCGATACAGAGATGTGAGACACGGATGAGGCTAATAATAGGGACAGATAGAGAAGAAGTATTATCAAAGGGAAATACGGGCTTTAGGTAGGTAGGTAGGTAGGTAGGTAGAGAGTAGGTACCGTTAAAAAGATTCGCTAAAAACTGAGAATAATACATGATGGAAAAATATCCCCCAAACAATTCACGTTAAAATCATTGTTATTTAAGAGGAAAGACCCAAGGATTTTTTATGTAAAAAAAAAAAAAAAAAAATCCTTTTTAGAACTTTCCAAATTTTGGTTAAAAATTCATCTTTTCTGGCATCACATGGAATCATAAATTTGTATAGGAACTTTGAGCGTCATTTTGCAGTGAAAAACATTGATTTTAGAAAAAATGCAAAAATCAGGTATTTAAAAATCTTTTAATGAAACTTTCAGAGGTTAATTAATTTATTTTTGAAACGTTCTTTTTTAGATCGACACTGTTAATTTTTTTTTACGTCTGTTAGGATGGCCAAGGACACACACACACACACACACACACACACTTATTTGATTTTATGAAAGTCCGGAAAATTCTTTTTTGCAGAGCTTTAGTTATAAGAAGAATTTGAATCATCATTTTTTTTCTTTTTTTTTTTTTTTTTTGGTCAAGCAGGATCCCCGCTTACAGAAAATCTGTTCTGAATCGTAAAATAAAAAAAATGCAATAAAGCTATTAGAAAAGAAATACTTTTATGAATAAAATATGTTATGGACACAATTGTCTTACAAAAAAAAAAAAAAAATTCGTTGAATAATCAATTTTCACAATAATTGTTTCTCTTTTTCTTATTTTAATTAGAATGATTTATTAAATTAAACATTTTTAAAAACTTTTGGAGGGGCCAAGTGATTGTTATTAAATAAAAACTGAATTTATTAATTATAAATGAAAATGCTTACTACAATTCAGCGACCTCCAATATTTAAAAAAAAATAATTCTTTTGTGTTTGTCTATAAATGTGCCGATTTTTATAAATATGAACATTCATACACGATATTATCAGAAAATAAGAGCGGTAACTATAGTAAATTTAAAATTTATTGGTAATTTTCTACCATTTCCTTAATAAGCGTCTTTATAAGACTATAAAGCCAAAAAAATATCTAAAATTGAATAAAATATCAGAAGGCTTACAATATTTTTAATTTTTAGGATTACAGGGTAGTTAAAAAAAATAATTATATAAAATTGCGTTTGCGTAGTATTCGTCATGTAATTTTTAGACAGTTATTTGCCCCTTACATAAATTTTCAAAGAAAAGGAGTAATGGATAGCGGCTCGGATTGAGGAATCGGTGAGCCGAGTTCGAATTCCACTCGAATCCATTACATTCACTTACGTGCTAATTGATATGAATCCTCTTCTTCTCCCTCCAGTTATGGGTAAATAGCAAGACAGACCGGGTTCTATAGCCTTGGATGGCAACTGGTCTACCGTAGAAAGAAATGGCAAGCTACTGCGGGAAAAAATCTGCCTCGTCAGTCATTTATCGAAAGATACATGAACGTCTACGCATGTATCACGCATGGGACGTAACTGACTGACTGAATGTAAAGTATTTGTTGAACTCTTTTAGGTTCAAATGCCGTTATGTATATAAGATATTTCATATGTTTTATAATTCGTTTTATTGAACGTCCAATATATATATATATATATATATATATATATATATTAGAAATTAATTGATTTAAAATTTTTTTTTTTCGCTACATAGTTCTAACCATGTTTCAAAAATGGAACCTGAAAGCTTCGAATTTAATTTTGTAATTGAAGACATTAGTTCCATTTCATCCTCAAGCGAATTTTGGAGTAACTTTTAAAATTACTGGGTTTTAAAGACATTTACAGCCCTATTTTGTAAAAATAAAAATATCTATAAGAACACCGGATTATATATCTTACTGTTCTTTCTTTATATATATATATATATATATTTATTGTGATGGGGGTACACGACGTACTCTTCAAATGTACACACCCTAAAATAAATGTCACAGAGATATTTTGCACATGCATACTTATCTATAATGGATACAAAAGGCACACAGGACAGACCGGGTTCTATAGCTATGGATGGCAACTGGTCTACCGGAGAAAGAAATGACAACGTACTGCGGGAAAAAAAATCTGACTCGTCAGTCATGTATTGAAAGATAGATGATCGCCTACGCGTGTACCACGCAAGGTACATAACTGACTGCTGAGAAACAAATGAGAAATATTTTTTTTAAATGTTTAATTTTAGTCTATTGATTCTAGATTCTTTCTAAAAGGAAAAAGATATTGATTAAGATTTATGTTAATAAAATGACCAACAAATTAAATCAAACGCATTATCATATTATTGAATGGTTGCAACGCCACCCATGCCAATGAAATAAATCTTTTAACGTAGAAATAATTTTCTCTCAGTTTTGTCGGGCTTTTTTAACGATTCTGCCTTAATTTTTTGCGGAATCTTTAAGAGGCTAAATTCATCAAAATTTTTTATATGTTGCAAAAATGGTGTAATGAATAGTGGTTCTGAATAAGAAATTGAGATGAATAAAAATTAAATTTAGTCAAGTTCGTTACATTCATTTATACGCAAATACTCTTAGAAATGGTATTTTCCCTACATGATGCATCGGTTAATAAATAGTAGGACTTTTATCTAAATTTGTTATTCTCAAAAGATTGTCAATTGAGATCCATCCATCTATCCAGATCCAGTGACGAGCAAGCGTGTGTATGTATAATTCTTGTCTTTAATTGTCGTATATATGTAGGTACCTCCACTAATTCGGTATACGTAAGTTTTAAAATTAATTTTTAAAAAATGAAAAAGCTTTCTTGAAGCTTTAATTGAAAGATAAACGATTTTTAAAATTTACTATTATCAGTCAGCAAAATACTCTATGGTGTATTTCAAACAAAAATTATATTGATCGGAATCTATTTTATTTTTCAGTAAAATCGATAACAATCGGCCATTTTGACAGATTTGTAAACAAAAGTTAATTCTTCAATTTAAAAATCTTGCAAAAATAGAATATATATTTCTGAAACGTTGCTCAAGAAAAATTAGCAAATATAAAGTTAAATTAATTTGATTTGACACAAATAATACTTATAGCATAAAATGTATACAAGCATTTCTTTACCACGGGGTCTTGTTTTTCCGACGTGTTAATCGATTTATTGACAGTCGATTGACTGCCGAATGTGTTCATAGTTATAGTAGGCATACCAGACAGGAAGGTTTTTTTTTTTTAAGGAGGGCAACCCTTAAAACACGTGTAATTTTAATGAGATTTATAGGTTTTTACATCCATACTTCAGAAATTCTTCACGTATGTACACATAGAAAAACAAATTGAAATTCTTTTTAAAATATTCGGAGACGTCAGATTGTAACAAGCTTTACAATATATGATTAGTAAATATAGTTTTACTTAATAGCAATATTTCCTAAGATTTATCATATTGAAATTGAATTTTAAAAGATTTAAAAACTTTATAAATTATTCAATTTAAAATTGTAAAAAATGAAAACAAATCTTGTAAAAATTTATTTTTCATCGAATTTTTTTCTTTAGACTTTGTCTTTAATATATATTATTCATAAAAGCAATTAAAAGCTTCTCTAATTAAATAACGTCTTAGTTTTATTGCATTTTTTATTTTTCGATTCAGAACAGATTTTCAGTAAGACGGGGTCGATTTTGCAATTCGATGATTTAAATTCTTCAAGGAATTCTACTTTTGACTAATACAGTCATTAAAAATTATCACGTTGAATTTCTCAAATTTTCATTAAATTAATTAAGGGGGTAAAACGAGATCTAAAAAAAATATATTTAAGTTAAAAAAAAAAGTTTAAAAAAATAATTTCATTTGTGAATAAGTTTTTAAAATTTCATTAAAATCTGTCAATTATTTAATTTTTGCAAGAATTTCCACATTAATGTGTCTATCACCACAAAACGAATATAAAATTATCTATGCTAAAAGTTAGTACAACCCTGACGCTAAAAAAATTTTTCAAATGAAAATTTTGAAAATTCTAAAAGAGTAAAAATTTAATTAAATATTCCAAAAATACTTTGATCCTTCCTTTTAATAATAACAAAGATTTTGACTATAACACTCTGTTTTCATTATGTTTGGAGCATG